ATATTCTGTTTTCTTTTTGTGCTTTCGTATAAGGGGAATGGCAGGGATGAAGAAATACTCATTCTAGATAGCACTTGTATTGGATTAACTTATTTGCGTTAATTAACAATAAAAGGTTTGGAATGATAAGAGACTCGGATGTAACAGAATGTAACAAGCTAACGCATGTATAACATTTCTTTTTTATGCGTGCAAAAATCGGATTCTTCTCTGCTTTGGATCATTATCTATGCAAATCGCCATGCCCACTATCCGGACACCAACTGCTTGGGGAGTTGTGCGAATTACGTTCTTCGTGGTTCACACCGCTTCGTCTGCTCAAAAGCTTCGAAACCAGTGAAAAGTGTTGTCTAGAAGAAAGAAGTGTTTCGCACTACAACAGATCACGAATCACTTCACCTGCGGAGTAAGGTGCTGATTCCTGATACTGAAAAGAGTACATACGAATGTTTGTAATCTGTCAGTATTCGTCACTTGTATATTATAAGTTAACAGGACGGCAGACTTCACGCAACCATGGGTGGTATCGAAATCCATATATTAGTTTGTATATAAATAAATAATATATATATATATATAATATATATATTATATATATATATATATATATATATATATATATATATATATATACAAACATATATGTGTATGTGTATAGCATAGCATAATTATGAAATTATAGCATAGCTATGGAAAATAGTTAATATTATCATTACCATTATATTCATCCTTTTTTTATTTTTGCAAGAGAGACAACACAACACAATAATAATGATAATAATAATAATAATAGCAACGAGTCTACTAATATGTTACCAAGCAGTGAACACAGGAAATCATAAGCCAGGAAATCTGAGAAAGAGGATTTTATAGCACTGCAGATTTTTTTTCCCAAGCATCATAGAACAAAATGTATTTTTTCAAGTTCATCTATGCAGTAGACATGACTTAGGTTGTTGTAAGGAGGTCCAGGGTCATATGGTTTCAGTGAGGAAATGTGTTTATGCATGTATGGGTGAGTGAATGCATGTACTTGTGGTATGTGTGTATGGATGAATGTATATGTAGTATTGTATGTGCGTATGCATGTATGTATGTTCACTATGTGAATGCATATATGTATGTGTGCATCGTAAACAGAATCATATTGCCTTTATATCGATGCAAGATGGAGATGCAATTTCATGGTATTTGTCCATAAAATATTAATGGTTTGTGAAATTAATGCTTATCAGACTGCATCGAGATCGAAAAAGTGCAAGAATCTTGGTTGAAATAGATCTCAATTTTTGTGCCACCAATACTGTTCTCGACATTTTACATGAAAAGACATGTAAACTTATATTCCAGTTGGCATTTTGTGACTAATTTTTTGCCCTAATGTATTTACATTGTTGCCTGAATGCATCAATAACATCGGATTAATGTTTTTTTTTTTTCTTTTTTTGTGAAGGCAATTTAATACACACTCTTGGTACACTATCGATGATAATTATAATCAAAGAAGATAATGATAACAGCTTGATAATGATAGTGATAATAATGATGACAATAATGATAATGAGAGAGAGAGAGAGAGAGAGAGAGAGAGAGAGAGAGAGAGAGAGAGAGAGAGAGAGAGAGAGAGAGAGAGAGAGAGAGAGAGAGAAAGAGAAGAAGAAAGAAAGAGAGAGGCAGTAGAAAATACACAAGATATCAAAAGAGGGAAAGAAACGGAGATGCAGATAGATAGACAGATAGAGCGAGATCAGCCAAGAGAAACAGACGAGAACGAGAGACAAACCGAGAGAGAAAGAGAAAGAGAGAAAATAAAAGAGGTAGGTGGGGGGGGGGTGAGGAGGCCTTGGGTGCCTGCTCTGGGGGAGGTATAAAAGGAAGCGGCTCGCCTCTCGTTCCTCACTCGTGTTGTGAGAACCTTGGGAAGCTGAGCAAAGGTGGTGGGAGTGTGTTCGTTCTGAGGAATTCGACTTTTTGAATTTGTGTTTTTTTTTTTTTTTTTTCTTATTTTGTTTTCTTCTCTCTCTATCTAACTATCTATCCATCCATCTCTGTTCTCTCTCTCTCTTTCTCTCTTATCTATCTAGTTATCCATACTCTCTACATCATACACACACACACACACACACATATATATATATATATATATATATATATATATATATATTATATATATACATATATATATATATATATATATATATATATATATATATATATATATATATATATATATATATATATATATATATATATATATATATATATATATATATATATATATATATATATATATATATATATATATATATATATATATATATTATATATTATATATATGTATATATATATATATATATATATATATACATATATATATATATATATATATATACATATATATATATATATATATACATAGTATATATATATATATATAATATATATATATATATATATATATATATATATATATATATATATATATATATATATATATATA